TGAAAGAGTTTAGTGGCAAAAGCAATAGTGGTGATTTAGTAATCGTGACAATAAGGGTAATTGATAATGAATACATTTGAAATGGTAGTAATATTTGGACGAAAGTGTAGGTGTTTGGAATGTTATTGGTGACGAGATAATCGCATGATAATGATAATAATTAGGATAGCACTGGTGATAGTAATGATAGTATCAACAGTGGTAATGTCAGTGATAATATGAGCATTGAGGTGATTGAATTACATTCAGGTAGTTCCACAGGATGACGCGCACATGTTGGTGACAGTGCATACGAAACACGAGATCACATCGTGGCTAGCGATGTCTCGCGCGTTTCTGCCAGATCAACGAGCCGCGTGTTTGATCAGGAAGTTGGTGTTGCGATCGCAGTTGTCAGTGAATGTGTGGCGACGTGAGCAGGAGGAGAAGGGACCTCCGTACATCGGACTGACCATCGAACGACTACGGGCCATTCGGGCATTCGCACACGCCTCTTTGAAACGCACATCTGAAGTGAACACTTGAGTATGTGACAGGTTCAGTGGTTTGCTTTTGAATTTGGGAAATTGCGTTCGGATACGCATTTAATGAGAATGAGAATAGGGATAATAATGATAATAATAGCAATAATGATATCTGATTATTTATGCATTACTCGGTCATCAAGGTGCCATCATTATTGTTACTTTATCATTAATATTGTTATTATTATTACTTCTATTCTTATTCTCATTAATGTATTGTTTTGTTTTATAAATTATTCATTGATATATTCAGTCAGCAATGACATTAACTCATCATGAGAGCAATGTGTTCATAAAGAGTGTTTCTTGTTGAAGTATTTCGCGCTGAACCGATAACATAGGACGGACTGGACTTTTGTTCAGATTCAGTCCGATGTATTGTAGGTGGTGAGACGCAGATTATTGTTGTTGTTTAGAAACTTTTTTGTGTAGGTTATTTAATGAGTATGCGTATTTTCAGTATTTCATTTATTTGTAATGTTTTTGATTCGATTCGGATTTGAGATCATTATATGGAGCGATTATATGATTATATCTTAGTGTATTTCATTAACAGTCTTATTATGATTATTGTGGACATGATTGCGGTTAATGTGATTATTGTTATTATTATTATCAAACTGTTAGCATTATGATTGTTCATTATTTTTGAGTGTTATTCGTATTGTTATCGTTTCAGCGATTTACTTTGATAATCTTTCGACAATTTCGATCACATCGTTAACAGTGAGCATTTTAACAAGTTCAATTCCCATTTTCATGTAATCTTCACTATCAATTCTTTACTTCCTTCCTTTCTTCCCTTGACTACTTTGGTTTTGAATTCGGGTATTTTCGCGCAACGTTGCTTATTGATTTGTTTTTCATTCGCTCTTTCATGTTGTTTTTCGATTCTTTGAGATTATTCATTTCGTTCATTTGTCAATTGTGATTTTGTGCTGAATTTTTAATGCAACCTGTGTATTTTGCTATTGCATAGTGTGGTTTATCTCTTTGTTTGTTGGTTTGTTTAAAATTGTGACGTCTGTAAGTCATCGTATGATATTTATTCATTGCTGATGCAGAATGGTCATAATCAGTTTTCTTTTCCTCTCAGTAATATTTTCACGAGTGCCCGATTTGATGTNTGTAATACGTGGTACGATTACTGATAATAGTCGATCTGAGGAAGTCCTGAACAATGGGGATTTCTTTGACATGATCTCGGAATTAAATCCTGATTTTGGGCTCAGAATGAGTGAAGCGATAAATTTGGATGAACCTGTAGTTGAAATTATAAGTTGAAGTTTGCTGGCACAATTGTTTCCATGCAAATCTTCTGTAGCAGTTAGTAGATGAAGAAATCCTATCGTTCTCAAGTACAATTGTATGTTTTACATTATGAATAATGTGTGGCAGCTAAACGATCAGAATTTTGTTTATATATTTGTGATTGAATTGATGGAGGTAACGTAACCAACCCGTTGGAGAAGCTGTTGAAAGACATTTCTTGTTGCTTCAACGAACGATAATAAATCTTCATCATTCGAGTTCGTTGGGTATTTATTTGAGGACAATTTTCTTTTTTGATGTCATCACGACAATACCATTGATTTGAATGCATTGAGTGCGATACAATTGAATTGTTCATTGCCTGAGCATAATTGCAATAATTGTGTGTACAGAATCAGTACTTGGGAAGTTTATTTCTGGTCTATTAGAATCA